CCATGTTAATTGTTTGATTTCGAATCAAGACACAAAACAACCATACAATGACAATTTGTGTTTGTTTCGAGCGCTTGCAGTTCATTTACATGGAACAACTATTCTTGAAACATCCACTTCCAAGATCTTTAACGATTTTCTGGAGAAATCGGGTTGTGATCCGAAACAGTTTCGTGGAGTTTCGATGGATAATCTACCAGTAGTTGAAGATGTAGTAGAGAAAAACATCTTTATCTACGATATAAACATTGAAGATGGAGACTTCGTGGGAGAATTAGCTCGGAGAAGTATCGGTAAATATGAGAACACAGTGAAACTTCTACGATACAACAACCACATTATTTACGTCAATAACATCGACAACTTCTTCAAATGCTTCCGATGCCCAACTTGCGATACATTTTTCCACAAAGCAGACCACTTCAACAAGCATCTCCTACGATGCAAAGATCGAATCAAAAACATTTACCCCAAAAATGTTTATACTCTACGAGAGACGTTATTTGAAAAACTGGATGGGTTCAATATTGAGTACACAAAAGAACAAACCTTATTCAAAAATGTCGCTATTTTTGACTTTGAATCAATTTGCGTGCCATCCGAAGAACTAAAACCAACCGAAACAATAACTTGGATCGGGAAGCATGAACCCATATCAGTGTCAATTTCATCCAATTTGCTTGACAAACCCATTTTTTTGTGTGACAAAGGTCCACAATCCCTCATTATTGACTTTGTGGCAAACTTGGAGTTGTTAGCCGAAAAAAAATAAAACCGAAATGCGATCAAAGTTTCTGGAAATTGAAAATAACATCAAAAAGCGATTACACACAATTTTCAGCATACTTAAAGAACGAGTTAGTTTCAACAAGATTGAAGCAAGAGAGTTTTCCGCGTTTTGTTCAGAGAAATTTCAAGTTTAACGCGTTTTGTTCGGTTATTTCAAATCAGCCCTATATCACGTCAAAAAATACGATTGAAACACAACGCATAGCTAGCTATGCTATGGTTTTGCAAAAACAGCCAGTTGGCCAAACTAGGTTGGAACTCAAATAGACATAAAGAGAGTAGAACCCAGCCTCATACTGCAACGGAGAACTCATGATATACTGTTCGGTGAAGTGAACCTCGTAATCCCTCATACACGAAGGACCGAATGCGCGAAAAGAAAAATCGGCCAATCAGATTTCACCAAACTAAAATTTGGAAAGAAAGTAAACATTTCCAGGGACTGAAAATTGATATTGGCCGAAAATATTAACGGCGAAAATATGCAAAATTTTTAAATTGTCACTGACCGCCGCTTAAATGGAACAATTTTTTTATTTCAAGGGTTCAGTTATGAAAGAAGCAAATTGTTGCATCATTTAATTCATTTTAGTTGAATGGCAATGGATTATTTTCAAAAAAATTGACTTCCTGATAATTTTTGTCGGCCTATGGCTCACAATTTTTTCGCCCATTCAGCTCTTCGCGCATGAGAATAGCCCCCGAATTGAACTCATGGTTACGTAGCAGTATTTAGACAACCGCGTATTCAGACTTGTCAGTATATAGCTAAATACCGTATAAACCAATCAGAATCGAGACAAGGAAGAAATGAATTACTAATATTTATTTATTTCGTAAATTTGTTTTCTCATCTCGATTCTGATTGTTCAAAACAGTATTTGCCAGTATGGTTATTACAGTAATTGTCTGCGGGTGCCGGATATCAAGCCGACGGACTTCAAGCCGAAACGTTAAGTTAGAGACTTCAAACCGAAAATTTTCTCCTTAAGTCATGATAATTGAATTATTTGAAAACTACAAAATTTCCCATTTTCATGATCTTTCCTCAGTAGTTACAGGCATTTTCATAAAACTATCCTCCGAATGCGATGTTTAGGAAAGTTCTAAAAAAAAACTATTCACGGCAATTTTCTTCTTGTTTATAATTTATGCATTTCAAAACCGGCTGATATTACGAATGGATGCCAATCCTAAGTGATTCATTGTCAAGAATAACGCTTATTATGGACTAAACAAGCCTAAATTTTTGAAAGGCAAATTGTTTTTGATGGAAAAATAGCGATTTGAGGTGCTTATAAAGTTTCAATTTCGGCCTGAAGTCCCTTCGGCTTGAAGTCACATCGACTTGTTGTGCTAGACCCCAATTACGCGTATAAAACAATTCAGTTTGTAAATTTTTCACCTTCCTGTTAGAATTGAGATAGCACAAACTTACTGCAGCGATCAAAGAGAGAAAGCGTCCAAAGTGGACAAATTCACAAAAAAAGTTACAAAATGTAACCAATAGTAACTAGTCCCTTAAAATTAACCAGTTGGCACTTGTAGGTCATGGTGCTAGGGCTTTTAGCAGACAGGTTTGTTAACAGACACAGAACAATTATAAAGTTTGACAGCTAACTTCAAACGCGACATTGGCGATTAGCAACCGCTTGTTCCGCTGCGCTTCAATTCAACACGGGGAGGGTTCTCAAGCTTAAAGGACCGATTGCTTGAAAGATCTCATTTAATCAAAATCGCTAAACGTTTCTATTGGCTAAATGTCTTTCTCACAAAACCGAAGTCAGTATTAACCGAAAATGTACTAAATCAAAGGAAAATAATCAAAAATATTACAAACTGCGGGTTACAACCGCATAACGATTCAGATAATCATCAAGATTATTGAGTTCAAAACCAAAAACAAATTTTCAGACTTGAAAACTGTTCTGCTTATTGTCTATTTGTCAATATTAACTTCAATGGCCTGGATTTATTTTCTTTCTATGAGATTTTCGCGATTTACTTTGAGATTTCGAATACTCAATTCTGATTGGCTGAAAGTAAGCCAAAATTAATTTTCGGTCCTTCAAGCATGAGGGACGCCGCCGTCAACACGAGTGTTATTGTGCGCGTAAACCTTTGTTTTGCCGCTAAATTAGAATCTTGTGTTATTTGAAGTTGATAGTTTTAATGTTAAATCGCGAGATAATTGTCTTGGGCCCCAGACTGAGCGTCTTTTTGAGCTGGGCCCCAGACTGAGCGTCTTTTTGAGTCTGGTAATCATCCATTTATTACCTTTGTCTCCTAAAAGAATTGTTTGCTAAACGATCGTTCCCCGTAGGTCATATATCCTTAGAAAGAGTTCGTTTTCTCTTTTGGATCAATCATCCTCCCAACCAAGGAAGCTCATAGATTTCGCCCGATGCTGAATTTCTCAATTATAACACTACGCTCATATACACTGCTGATTTAAATTAACCGGACAAAACGAGCTAAACTTGAAATTTAAAACGCGTTTTTCTCAAATTGTGTCGAGTTTAAATTAAAACTTATGAAGATAAAAATTGCTTAAACTTTAAGCAGAATTGAAATTTGTTTCGTAAAACTCGGGCCAAAAATTTTACCACAAAACTTGGTCATTTTGGCTTTTCTTAGTCAATCAAAAAGTACGCCAAAAACACCCAGTCGATCACAGACATAATTATATCAATATAATTATATTGCAAGCCTTTTAAAAATTGTTTTTAAATAAAAAATTGATTTTTTATTTAAAAAAATGATATTATATATTGAAAAACAAAACGAACTTTTTTGTCTATCAAACAAAAATAAATCAACTTATACAATGTTTTGGAGAATATACCCTGCTTAAAATTTGTTGGGCTACGTTAGGCGCTTACTTTGAGCTGATTATGTCTGTGATCGACTGGGTATTTTTGGCGTAATTTTTGATTAAGTAAGAAAAACCAATATGACCCATTTTTGTGGTAAAAATTTGATCCCGAATTTCACAAAACAAAATACACCATATTAATTCTGCTAAAAGTATAAGCTAGGTTTGTCTTCATAAGTTTCCATCTAAACTCAACCCATTTGAGGAAAACGCGTTTTAAATTTCAAGTTTAAAGCGTTGTGTCCAGTTAATTTAAATCAGCACTGTATCACGTCAAAAAATATGATTGAAACACAACGCTTGGCCAGCTATGCTATGGTTTTGCAATAACAGCCAGATCGATAGACTAGGTTGGAACTCAAGTAGACATAAAGAGAGTAGAACCCAGCCTCATACTGCAACGGAGAACTCATGATATACTGTTCGGTGAATTGAACGTCGGAATCCCTCATACGCGAAGGACCGAATGCGCGAAAGAAAAGGCCAATCGGATTTCAGTAAACTAAAATTTGGAAAGAAAGTAAACATTTCCAGGGACTGAATATCAATATTGGCCGAATATATAAACGGCAGAAATATGCAAAATTTTCACTGACCGCCGCCGAATTGGAACAACATTTATATTTCAAGAGTTCAGTTATCAAAGAAGCAAAATGTTGCTTCATTTAATTCATTTTAATTGAATGGCAATTGCTTCTTTTCAAAAAATTGACTTTCGGCTAATTTTGTTTTCGTTCCTTCGCTCAAGATTTTTTTTCGCCCATTCAGTTCTTCGCGCATGTGAATAGCCCCCGAATGGAACTCATGGTTACGTAGCAGTATTTAGACAACCGCGTATTCAGACTCGTCAGTAAATAGACAAATACTGTATTAACCAATCAGAATCGAGACAAGGAAGAAATGAATAACTAATAATTAATTATTTCGTAAATTTGTTTTCTCATCTCGATTCTGATTGGTTAATACAGTATTTGTCTGCTTACTGACGAGTATGAATACGCGGTTGCCTAAATGCAGTCCGCACTCCGGAACTCACGATTGGCAGAAACCAGCACAACTTAATCAACGGTAATTAATACCGCAAACTTGATGCCACTTTAACTTATTTCCGTCTTTTTCCTACTCATAATTTACTTCATATGCCATAATTCTGCATTATACAGTTTCGTCTTAGAGATTTCAAAAGCAAAAATGCAGGATATCCTTTATCTGTTGAAATTTTAAATCTGCCTTGTTCAAAAATGAAACCCGCATATAAATAATTACAACTTTGATTGAGAGACTAATTGAAGAAAATTAAGAATGTAGGTTAAGATATGAAGAACCACATAGCTGCTCACTTTCCGAGTTGTTTGGACACGAGGTATTTGTCGGCCACATCCGAATGCACACTGCTAGAGGTCGACTTCGCAGACACAAACATGAACACTAAAGAGAACAGCTACAACTAATCTAGAACATCTTTTCATCGACCCACTAATGTTTTTGCCACTTACCTTTTATGGAGTTAGTAGCTAAGGAAATTTCATCATTGGACTGCAATACGTGGAACTTGTTTTTGCCTAAATACATAGAAGAACAAATCTTTTTGGCTGAAAAATCAAGAGATTCGTTTGTACATTCTTTAAAACTTCGGACTAGCCGTTTTTAGGTGTGACAGATACTGAAATATTTGAGCATAAAAGTGGGACAGATAACTTACCGACTTTATTGCCATTGACAAGAGTTCCATTAGAACTGATATCTTGAAGAACTACATCGAAGTCATCCATATCTGCACTGCAAAGTTGCTAAAAAGAACTGAAAATATAACTGTTCGAAAAGGAACATCCTATGATCCTAAAAACCTTTAATATTTAACAACTTTTCTGGAAAATAAATTAAATCTAAGCCAGAAACTTCCCCATTTCGATTTAACACAACCTACGTTGCCACAAGTAAATCCCTTTCAGCGTATAGGTTCAAGAAGATAGCCAACAAGACAGGACAGCTGGTGAAGTGTCAATGGACTCTTTTTTTTGCAAAACTGAACTTTATATCACCTTCACGCTCTTTAAATAGAAACGTACGGATGTTTATTTTCAAAAAAGTATAAAAATGTCAAAAATTGGACATTTAACAAGGATATATCTGATTTTTATCATGTGCACAGAAAACACGCTTTTGCAGAGGAGATTAAGACATCTCCGTTTCACGAATTTCTAAATTTTAGAATTAGCATGATCGTTTTTGCGAAATAGAACAAAGTCTAAAATTGGATCTTAAGGTCAAATATTTCGTAAGTTCATAGCGGAATCCTTACCAGTATTGGAAAAACAAATGCTTGTTCATTCGATTGAAGCCTTAATCTCCAATTCCGCGCAGTAGTTTTCTGCGAGGAAATCAATAAACTTCCAAAAACGCACAGAAACTCAAAAAATTGAGCTTTGCTAAATCCGAAAATCCACAAAACTTGTGCGTAGTTGCAATGCAGACAAAACACCTACACCGGTTTTTTCGACTGAACCCTATGCCTCAAGTTTTTGACAAAAGTTTTTGACGAAATTTGGATATCACCTGAGGCCATAACTCGTTTTCTACAAAAATTCGTTCGGGAATAGCAGCTAATACAGGTGAGACTTCACAATGTTTTTTCGATTGAATGAACCCTTAATCTGAGATTTGACATGCTAGTGTCCGAAAAAATAAAAATAATTCAAAAACTGGGCCGAAAATTCTCCCGTCTGAAAATGTCGAGTAAAGTGAAAAGAGACAGGCGGAAATTGCAGGCACACAAAAAGTAGCCGATCTTTCCATTCAAACAACTTTTTTGAAAATCGGTAAAACGATAAAAGCAAAAATGTTCCAACGCGTCTAAAAACCATACATTTTTATGAAACCTATTTCTATCAAATAAGAGCTATCCACTTATAAACCAGATACAAAAAGAAGCAAAAGTTAACCAAAAATGATGCTGCAAACGTGCCACCAAATTAATGACCCCTTATATTTGCGACTTAGGCTGGAAAAAAAGTGCAAACCTAATGACAATACGCTCCGAATGTGTAAAAATAAATGGAGAGAGGTTAGATTAAAGAGCTGTAACTATAGCTAGGTGTTTACCTTGTGGATGATGAAGTGTTTCTTAGAAATGACTGCAAGCGATGCACTGGAAAAGGCGTCAGCTGGGAGAATGCAGTCACAATCTTCACCCTTTCCAAATGAATACTTCTCAACAGGCTCTAACAGAACTGAAACGAAACACACTTCAGAACATACGCCTTTTCAATTAACAACAAGCAACTCCGCGCAAAGTTCAAAATATAGCAAACAGGCAGTTGGAAAAAGTCAATGAAGGCAATTAAACTGAAAAAAAAATAATGACTTGTTTTTTTTTAAACTTCAACTTTGGGAATTCAAAATAAAAATTAGATGGCCTTACAACGTGTTTGAAAAACTATGTATGATTACCACTTTTTTGATAACAATAACTCAATTTGAAAAAAAAACTGGATCATTAGGTAAAGTTTTAAAGTTTTTCTTCCGCTGGGAAATCTGAAAATTAAATTCCTCTTTCGAAACTAGAAGTCGATCACGTTTTTCATGACCTATACCCTTTCGCTAATAGATAGTGGAATTTGCCTTCCTTTTAACAATGAATTGAACTTGAAAAGCAATCAAAAGTCAAAACAAGGAAAAATAAATTTGAGCCTGACCAAATGTTAAGACTTTTCCTGAAAAAAATCATCTCGACCTAAACAGCTGCGTTCATCGACTCTTAAAAAGCTTTGAACTTGAACAAGGATAGAAGAATCGTTTTTAATCTTGTTTTTCGCCAATCTTGCTGCTGTTTTTCGTTCAATTAGGGCAATTGATGTAGTTCAAAAAATGGAAAAATAAGATAATAGTAGCAAAAATGATTCGAATAATCGCATTAGAATTGAATCGAGATCTATGTTTCATTTGTATATTTCGTCCTATTCAACATGAAATATGGAAACTTTCACACCAGTTTTTCTCGAATATATTTTTTGAAATTTATTGTGAAAACCCAATCAGGGCTGAAAAGGCTCTTAGATGATACTATACTTGACTACCTACGGATTGGTATTGAAGTAGTCGCAATCGGGCAGTAGAAAAATTACCACCTAATCAATAGTTCTTTCTCATCCCTTTAGAAGGTGGTTGAAACAAAAAAAACTAGCATCGTTTGGAAGAAATTATACACAAGAAAATGTTTGATAAAAATTTATGGAATTATCGTTTTGCATTGCTCAAAACTGTGGTAGCAGATGTCACTGTGCATTGAAGCAAAATTTGTCAGCAGACTTTTAGTCAAAACTGCTCATAGGAATCAAAGACCAAATTTGGGTTTTACGTTGTAAACCTTTTGAAGTCATGGCCAAAATCATTTGATCTGATACCAACCTTCATTTGAATCCTAACAAACAACTTGCAAAAACGAAAAAACAACTAAAATAATCAGATCACTTCATTTTAAAAAAAGTTCAAATTAAAAGCAAAATGAAATGCGGAAAAACTCGGTCGAGGCTTTTTTTCCTGCGTTTAAAAATCAAAATAATGATAATTGATTCAATTGTTACAATTTTTTTTTCTGAAGACAGAACAAAAGTTTGAAACTGTAAAATTTCAACTGGTTGGGTAGACGTTCATTTTTTGTTTCTCTGATTGAGTAATTTGGACAGTTAGAAGACTAGCTCCTGCTATTTTTATTAGGAATAAAAAAACGATTTAGCGTTCGCTGAATTCCAGAAACTTGGATGAATTTGTAGATATCTCGGTATTCAAATCAATTTACTCAGGCAGAGAGAAAAATGAATTACAATAAACACGCCGGTAGAGATTGAACAGTTCCAAAAATGTATTATATTCCACTCAGACAACATTCGCCCGGAAAGTACAAAACGACGGGAAAAAAACATAATTCCATAACGATTGGGTAGCATCAAAAATAGCTCTTATGTATTTTCAAGCGCTGAACGAAGTTAAGTAGTTACATGCAAAGTTGTGAACGCAAGGCTTCCATATACCAAAAGGTGATTCCTAAAAATGGGGCTAAGACCTCTCTTTTTATAAGTTTTTATTAAGTAGAAAAATTCCACATCCATTGGAGATGGAACTTTTCCTAATTCCTAGCTCCTCATAACCTGAAAAATAACTCAAGACGATGAATAAAATTCAGGACAAAAAGCTAAAAGTCAAACAGTTTAAAATACAGTCCAACTGTAAGCTATTCCAGACATGGGATCTCCATCAAAAAGGCAGCCAGCCTCTTCACCGCTGGGAAAAGTTATCACAAAATATCTCCGACTACCCGTTGGGTAGCACAAAAAAATAGCCCCTGCTATTTTTTTCGTCCGAAATAAGAGAACGAAAAAACATTAGCTAAAAATCTGCAAACTTGCATGATTTGTGGATAGCTAGGGATTCAAATCAAATCACTGAGGTAGAGAGGAAAAGAGTTTAGCACAACCCCACAGGTTGCAATTGAACAATTTAAAAATTGCATTTTATCCATTAAAACAACATTTGTCCGGAAAGTACAGAACCACTGGAAATTAAACCTTATTCAATGTAGATAGTTTAGAGTCAAAATGATCTTTTATACATTTTGAACCGTCTCTTTCTAAGCCATTCAATGTGTTCCTTCGTGAATCGGGTCAACGTTGGTATTTGAAGAGTAGTGGCCGAACGATTGAAGTTAACTGGTTTCATGCAAAATGAAGAACGCATGACTGGATCTCAGCATCCACATACCATAAGGCCGCTCCTAAAAAAAGGGCTGATACCTCATTCTTTTGTTGTTTTTGTTTAGTAGAGAAATTCTATGTTTATTGGAGCTGGATCAACTCTTCCCTAATTCCTAGCTCCTCAAATCCTGAAAGATAACTAAGGATGTTAAATTAAATTCAGGACAGAGAGCTACCAATCAATATGCAGTCCTCAATACAGTCTAACGGTAAGTCATTCCAGATCTGAGATCTCCGTCAAAGTAGCAGCTTCTTCACCAACGGAAAAAGTTATCACAAAATATATCAACCTTCCCGATGTGGAGCACAATTCAAGTAACAATTGTATTTGCATTATTTCCCTTTAGATTCCCGTAATTCCTTCGATCACTAGTTCTCCACTAAATCTCTGTCGTTTTTCCGCTCAATCTTCTGTGTTTTCAGAAAAGATTGGGTTTATCAGTTGGCGCGAAAGTGAACTGTTCCTTAGCCTTTACTTTTTATCTATTGCGTCATTTAATGTCCTTAAACATCTTTCCGGACAAACTGCATGTTCCCAAACACCAATCATTCCGCTCGAATGGCACGTAAGCCGAAATCATTTCGTTAAGATTTTGATATGAAACGAAGAAAAATAATCTCGAGTCAGTTTCGAACATCGCCTCGACCCTCTCTCGGCCACATAAAGAGGAAGAATGAAATTCTCGATGTTATTATTTTTTAAATCAGACGAATTAACTCTAAATACATCAGTAACGAAGAGCGGACAGCTAACAAAATCATAAGGGTTGCCAAATGCTGCCCTGGTTTGAAATCAAATTAGATGTATCAGATAAGATTACTTAAATGCAACCGCTGAAGAAAAAGATCTTGCAAATGCCCTAAAAAATACATCAAAATAGTATGGGGCACCATCTCAACAAGTTGTACATCTACTGAACAAAAGATGGTTCAATTTGAATGACATTAGCTTAACTGTAGTATAAAAAACGAAGTTACGATGTTTCAAAACGGATTCTTTTGCAGAAAATATTTGAAAACTCATTAGTCGTTGGCACCTTTAATCGGTTTCATTACAAAAAATTAAACTTGTTCACATAGCGATTACTGATTCAACTAACGATGTCTCCTCCCCTAAATCCCTTAGCATCAAAATCATTGAATGGTACCTTGAGAGTCAGTAAACACCTAACTGAGCCGATGCGGTAGTAACCAGTGAAGAAGTCCAAGTAGGAGCTTTCAAACGCCAAAAGCGATTTGAAAACCCACATCAAAATTGTAAAAAATTTGGCAGCAGACTTACGCGTATAATTTGTTCTATTTAAATAACAGTTGAGTTTAAATACAAATCATAAACAAAAAAATTGATCAGTTCTTCATTGATTAAAATGAATAGATCGCGCACTTGGTGAGCAATCTGTTAAACATTGGCTTGAGAAAACCAGCAAAACTTGTGGTAAGAAGCGAATTTTCTCGAAGTAAGTTATAAAGCTTTGTTCTCCAGTAACTAGGTGACACTCATTGAACTTTGCTTTCCGACAAAGTGTTTTAATTAAACTAAAGTTGCCCTTCCAGTATTGTACAAAACCGCATATTTAAAGTTCATTTACATGGAGCTGGTGAACTGTTAGAAACCTTTTCATCCAGAAAGGCATTTCGTAGGCTTTCAAATTTTCTTTTAAAGTAAATTAACCGAAGTGTTTTTCTTTCGTATCATTAACAGGGGCAAAAGATTTGTCTAAATAGTACAACCGTAAACTAGAAAACCGTATTGCAATTTGGTTTAATGCTAGACCTTTAGTATTTGATTAAAACAGTCTTATGAACATAATGACGTACTTTCGGAGGATGCCACATTGTTTTCTAAGCTTGGCTCGATCGAAATCAATACGAAAATTAATGGATATCTTGGTATCCAAATGAATATTAAGATATTTGCAAGATGAAGCACGTTTTATGGGCATGTTACTAATATGAAATTGATGATTGCAAACACTACACAAAGATAAACTAACTTAAATAGTTTTTTCCAAACTCAGGGACAATTTATTAATTATTAACATTTGCTGACAGCTTCTAAGTCTTTATTGAAGTTTTCAACGGAGCAGTTTAAACAAAGTATACTGATGTCGTCTGCAAACAAGAACGTTCACTTAAAAAGCAGACATTTGGAAGGTCGTTTATGTATATAAGAAACAAAGGTGAACCTAAAATAGAACCTTGAGACGCGTTACACTTGAGAATCTCTGCCAATTTCTAACACTGATAATTACGCCATATATATCTAATTTTCGAACACAGATTCAGCCAGATGTTTCAAAACAGTAACAATCGCAAACGCGCTTGCTTTAACAACGAGGTTATTTATTCCATCAACACCAGAGGAAGATTTATTTTGCAGCTAAGAAAGAATAGTGTGAATTTCGAATTCCGAGACATGATAATTACGCATGCAAAGACTCGCTGTGATAAGAAGTTGATCAAATGTTAGGTTTGGTATG